CTTACACTGCTAAATTAGGGACGGCTAGCGCAGATAGCCCTCATGTAGCTTTGCGCAAAATTCAAAAACAAACTAACTGGACTCAAGTTTTTGTGGATAATTAAAGTGGTGAAAGACAAAATATCTAAATAAATGATATAACGTTCTTATATTTCATGTCTAATTTACATGCAGCTCAAATATAAATTCCTAAAACTATAAGAATAGGCCTAGCATGGCTTCATGGTTAAGGTTCTGGACCCGCAACATGCGGGTCGAAAGATCAAACTCTTTTACCGATTATACTTGCACTTCTTAGCCATAGGGGCGTTATAGATTATGATCAATCCCACTATTCGTTAGTAAAGAGTTGTCAGTAGATGGTTGTTGATTAGCTCTTCCCTTTTAGTCTATCACTTCAAAATCAGTGAAGCCTAGCGCAGCTAGTCCTCGAGTAGCTTTGCGCGAAATTCAATAAACAAACAAACGCATCGCCATTTTAAGAGGCCTAACTGTTTTTTTTTGTTTTGCTGACCCAAGCTGAGCTGATTTAAACAAGCGAAACTGCAGCCCATAACAGAGGGCGCGACCAATCAAGGAATGTACCAGGCCTCTACATAACATAGGATACCCTTTCAATTGCACCTTTGATGAACAAAAAAGAAAATAAATTTGTAACATATATCAAAAAAAGTATCAGAGGAAAATTCTAAACCTATGGTACAAACAAGCAAACAAAAAACTGCCACAGCCGCTGCATTATAAAGTTTAATTTTAAAAAGTAATTTATTTTTACATGAAGCAAAACGAGATAAATAAACACGGGTTTTAGATCTTCAGAACTGGTGAATTTTAGTAGTTTCATAATTACAATTATTTTGAGTTAGTTGTATTGATGGTTATATAATTATTTGACCAATATTTTAAGTACTAAATGAAATTGCTAACTTCACTGCTGATGGATTGGTTTTTCTTGAGGTTATTCGATATTTTCATCCAGTAGGTAAAGTACTGTTGCGTCAGCGAGGTCACGTGACTAGTGTCACGCCACGTTTTCTAGAAATATCCTGTTCCTTCGTAAATGCCCTAGCATTTACTAGA